TAAAGAGACATTAGACATAGCCCAATTACTATATTAAATCAGATAAAAAGCATGTTCAAAGAACCCCTGAATAGTCTCTGGCACGCTGTCACACCTCTCTTAACCCTAAGCATTTTATGTCTTTTATTGCTGTTACTAGGGCCTTGTGTCCTTCGCAACATGTGGAAACTCATCCAACAAGCCCTAAGAGACCTGCATCATTTGAAATTGCAGACAGCTCCCCCACTTGTAAATCATGAGATTTAAAGCCAAGTATGGTAGCCAATGACGGGTAAGATATGGTTGAATTGTAAATACCATCCTAAGGGAGTGGTTGACAGAGGACTATAGCCCCATGACAGGTAAGGATTTACTTCAACCATACAACCTAAGACAGGCACATACCTTGACCCAGTCTGAGTTGGGCTGGTTGTTTTATTGAAGAAAAAAGGGGGAGATGTTGAGGGTGGTCGAAAACTAAGGGAAACTGAGAGAGGACAGCTGAGAGACTGGGGTGAAAGAACGGTCAGTTATAAGAGATAAGGAAGTACACTGAGAAAAATAACAAGTCCCGAATGTTGAGTCTGAGTGTGCTGAGACAGGATTTATCCTGAGGACATAATATGCTTGTTTTGCAAAAGAGTACGTGAACACTCAGGCATGTGCTTCTTGACCCCTGGTTAATTTTCCCTCCCTGAGTGTGTATATAAAGAGGAGGATAAAAGCTATATGGCACAATTCCAGCTCAACTGGGTGTCCTCTCAGAGTGATTTGTGTATTTGTTCAGCTCCACGCCATCCCTTCGGGACTGTTCGACTTTGACGGGCACCGTCACCCTTGCTCGTCCTCACCATTTCTCTGGTATCCAGTTATCCTATAGTCCTCCCACAAAGCTGACCTGTACAGCAGTCTGAGAAGTGGTCCAAACTAATGTTTCCCTCATTTGTCCCTCAGTTAAACAGTATGGTCCCTGCCCACTGAAAACATTCTTACAGCATGGCTCTGTCACCTGGCATTTTGTGTCTTATATTAGTTCAAGCATTGGAATCCCAGCTTTATCAATGTTAACTGATACTGAACAAGTCATTTACCCTCTCCCAGGAAATAAGAGCAGCTGATATTTCACCAGCTGCCATCCTCTCTGAAATGAGCCCCTGTACCTGGGATCCTATAGGATGCAAGTAAACAGAAGAGGTTCACCTGATGTTCTTATTTTATGAACCAAAGAGACATTTTAATGCTCTATAAAAATAAAACAAAGTTACAAATCAAATATCAAAACACAAAGGTTTAAAAATTAAATCACATGTCTGTACTTAAATCACATTAACTAAAAAGGGACACAATTATTCCTGAAATGGAGACTGGCCTGGGGACTGTGGGTTGCTTCAGTCATTTTGGCCCTCAGTCTTCCGAGCACTCTAATCAGACACCTGCCTCCTCACCCAGGTAGCTTGAATCCCAGGCACAGCATCTGCAGGATGTGCATCCAGCAGGCTTACTAAGAAGTCAGAGCTCACCGAAGGCCCGCAAGATAAGTTCTCCAGCCCCAACTGAGCCAAATCTTCTTTATAACAATGGGGAAACAGGTCCAAATACATTCTAAGGTTACACAAAAGTTAGACGCAGCTGCAGTGATGACTCCTGCTCAGTCCAGAGTTTGTTACTCTAAAAACCTGGTCTACATACAGGTTTTCTTTCTGGTGGGATGGGCCCCAAGTTGTACCCTGCAGAATGTGTGGTCCAGAGAGTGTGAAGGGCACTGCAGGCAGAGATGAGAAAGCATTCATTCAAGTTCACTCACCCACAAGCCAATTCTGAGAGGGTGACTGAAGGGGCAAATCATGGGTGGGGCCAGGACCAAGACAAACAGACCCTGCACATGTGGCATGTGGGAGGCCCTGGGGGACTTGGGAGTCTATTCTGCAGGTTGTGGGGAGTTCAAGGATTATTAACAATGGGGGGGTATCATAATAAATTTATTATGACATGAATCTCTTTATGAAGAGATTTAGGGGAAAGTTAGGCTAACTTTCAACTTGTTAAAATGGCTATTCATCATCCAGTGAGGACAACTAACAGGGGCTAGATATGCAGAGATAATGCAGGATCTGGGGAACGGATAACATCACTGGAAGACAGGTACCAACAATCACTAAATATTCACCACAGAGCTTCTCTGTGTCTTAAGGCACAATGAAAGCTGGGGTACAGGAAGGAAGGGAGCACATGGCCTCAGAGCTCAGGGCAGGTGCAGACAGAAACCAAGCAGCCAGTACACAGGCATGCACCCCACAGCAGCACTAGCGCTACGGAGAAACACAGACGTCCCTGAGCCAGCATGCTGGAGCCAAACTCTGAAGGACAGTGGTAGTCCCAACATACTGAGGCAGCCAAGAGGAGCTGGGGAACAGGTGGGAGGTGGAAACTGGGAAGGCATCAAGGGTACCACGTACAGGCAGAGACACCCAGCATGGCTTGAGGACGGCTTACAGAGTCAGAAAGGAAACCAGTCTGGCTGCAGATGCCCCCAGGGGCCATCAGATGACACAGAGGACAAACCTACATAAAGCCAGTGTTTGAAATCTAAGCCAAGAAAATGAGAATCAAAGGAGTACCAAATTCTGAGTGGGAGAGGGTGGGGTGAAATCAGCAGAGAATCACAGGATGACAACAGTATACAAATAGAGCTGGACTTCCATGTTTTGATAATAGTTCAGGAAAAAAATGTTCAGAAAACAGTGGCCTTTTAAAGGAAGTCAAATTATTTACAAGTATTGAATAACTGTATACAAATCCAGTAACAAGTACACAAAACAAATCAGATAAATACTAGTGACAGAAATGATATTGAATGATAACTGTTAGTCCTATGCTACAAATGTACTTTAGAAAACAAAGTTTTTTATAAAGCAGTCTTATTTTTAAATCTTCCTGGCATCAAAAGTACACAGATTTAGTTAAAGTTGATTCCATTACAAGCGATACTTTTATTGGTTCCTTCTGTAGGTGGAATTCAGTGTGTACCACTATGTTATTCACCTGTAAGGCAAAAGCACAAGATAAAGACACTGTCCAAAGGAACGTGGGAAACCACGTGAAGCCCATGAGTGAGCCCAGGCGTGATGGCGAGATTCTGTGACTGCCAAGAAAACCATGCAACTAGCGCTCTAAGGAGCACATGCCACCAGGGGCTGGGGATGCAGCCGTGCGGGATGGAAGGGACACAGGGCTGCATAGCCCCACACCTGGGGCCAGCCTCTTCCTGCCCTGGGTCACCTTAGGCAAGGTGTTGGCCCTCTGAGCTTTGGTAACTCAAAGGAAAAGGAAGGGTTGGATTCTGTTACACCCAGTTTCCAATGGTTGGCAACCCCAGAGATTCCTGTAACTACCTCTCATCTGCCTCTTCACGGAGCTGTGGGCGCTTTTAGTGCAAAGGCCACAACGGGCGTGGTCTTGGGCTTGTGTTTTCAGTGTTTACTCAGCAAGAGCTTTAAAAATGCAGGGTGTTCAGTGAAGACGACATACTGGTTGAGACTTAACTGGTCAGCAGAACTGTTCAGACAGCATTAGCCAAAATGGATTTCTATTTGTAGTTGGTTAAATCTGCCTTTATTATGACATTGCCTTGAGAAGCTGACAAGAAACTGTTTTCTTAATAAGAGAAATTGCACTGTGTGAGGTGCCTGGGCATGTGGTTGGCACAACTGTTGCAATCGCCTATGGTTCCTTCCTGAACATCTTCCTAACAGCCCACCTCCAATGAGGTGAAAAAGGGTTTGAAAGCTGGTACGCATCATACGTAAAGTATTAATGTTACTTTTTTAAAAAGATAGAAATAGTTACCATACGTTGGGGAAGCAGAGGAGGACCTAACATGCTGTGGGGGGCCATGAGCCCCACCCTGGACCATGGCTGCCCACGCCAGCCACCACCTGAGGGCTGCAGATGGCTTACCTGGGTTAGTATCTGCAGAGCGCAGGGAACAGTACAGGCCCAGGGTGAGCCTGCAGAGATGTCAGCACTGTTGTCACTGTGCTCATTTATAACCTTTCTAATGAGCTCTCTCGGGGTGTAAAAATGCCCAGATTAAGAACATTACTTGTCAATCCTGGTGTGATAGAACACGCTAATCAGCTATTCTCCAAACTGTGGTTCATGCATTAATCTGCAGCAATGGTCTCCAGTGAACACTTGTACAGGCTGGGGGGTGGTGCATGCTACCATGGTACTTAAAGAAGCCCTGGGGCCTCCCCTCTTCTGGGGCCATGGGGCCAGGCCAAAGCTGACAAAGGGCAGGATGACAGAGCTTGCCTACCATGCAAATGACCACTCACGTTACCAGTGAACACAAAGTGCGTCTCATTTTCCTCAGTTTCTGGTTAAACCACAGTTCCTGAATGCCACTGTCACCTAAACTCACCATCAACCATTGTTTCCAAGCCCCAACCTAATGATGTCTTGTTTTCACGGTTTAAGTTTATCTCGTGGAAATGTTCTCTGCAAGAGTGCTGGCTTTAGGGCAGGTAAGTCCAGATTCACTTGGAATGTACTTACTCTGGTGAAGAAATCAGCGATGTGCCACTTATTTCCATACTGTTTAAAGACTTCAATCATCGCTTCAATCATCACAGAGCCGTTTCGGGGGTGCCGCAAAGCAACATGATCTATGGAGTAAAATTGAAAACATTTCACCCATTTTCCTCCTGTTTGCATCTACCTTGTTCCTTTACACACAGTTAAAATGTAGGAAGTGGCTTTGGGCCGAGAATGTAGAGACACTCTTGTATTAGACACAGGTACAAGCAGAGCCCCCAGGGACTACTGTGGCCAACAGCACAGAGTCTCTCACCAGGGCAATTCTTTTACATGCATTTTTAAAAAAGTTTCCAAATATACACAAAAGTAAAAATCAAAGTTTAACAAATCCCCCATATAATCATCCCCCCCGATTCAAGTTATCACCATTTTGCCACATTTGCTTCATTTATCCCTTTTCTAGATTTTTATTTCTGACTTTTGCTATAACACTTTAAGCTAACTACCCCTAAATACCTCCAACATGGAATTTATTTTGGGGTCCTCAAAATTGAATTTTTGAAATTATTTTTATTAGTTATATTAAAAGACAGGAAACAGTTTAGTGTGGAAATTCAATGAGAATATCAAAATTGCACCCTCTTGTAGTGATGCTATATTGGAACAGAAAAAAATGGGACATGTTTGCAACCTCAGAATAGGCAAAGGTCTCTTTGAACACAAAAAACATAAACCGTAAGAGGAAAAATTGATAAAGCGGATTTTATCAAAATTAAAAACCCTTGCTTTTCTAAAGATATTTTTTAAAAAATGAAAAGCAAGACACAGATTGGGAGAAAATATTTGTAACATGAGCCAGACAAAGAATTTGTACCCATAATATATAAAGAACTCTTAGAACTTAGTAAGAAAATCAACAACCCAATAAAAAAAAAGTGTACAAAGATATCAACAGACACTAAGCAAAAGAAGATAACATGAATGGCCACTAGGTACATGAAAAGGTAATCATTATTAGTCTTCTCAAATGCAAATTAAAACCATAAGGTGATACTATTATACATTTATTAGATTGTCAAAAATTTTAAAAACAGATCAAAGTAAGTGATAAGGAGGAAGTGGAGCAACTGGAACTCTTGTGCACTGCTAGTGAGAATGTAAAATGACATAACCAAATTGAAAAAGAATCTGGCAGTGTCTTTAAAATTTAAACCTACACCTACTCTATGAACCACCCGTTCCACCCAAGGAAAAGAAAAATATACCCGAAGACTTGCACCCACGTGGTCACAGCAGCTCTATTTGTAATTACCAAAAATCAGTGGAAGATAGGCCAAAAAAAAAGAGGTAAAAAACCTAATAGTGTATAATTCTAGTTGTATAAAATTTCAGAAAATGTAATATAATCTGTGGTGACCTAGGAATAGGGATGGAAGCAGGGATGGAATAAAACAGAAAACTTTTTGGGATGGTGGGAATACTTACTTATCTTGATCATGGTGACAGTGTCACACATGTATACTTATGTCATATCTGCTCAAATTGTCTACTTGAAATATGTGCAACCCACATTTCAATCACACCTCAATAAAGTCATAAAAATCCACAGGACAGATCTGTTCAGTGTGGTAGCTAGACAGGGATTTCAGTACTGCCCCTCTCAGAGTCAATCTAAGTTAGAAAACCTGCATCACAATGATTCACAGTCATCCACCTGGTGTTCTTCAAACTGCAGGCTGTGGCCCAATAATCACTCAAAAAATCAATTTAGTAGATGGAAACTGCTTCATTATAATAGGATAGAATAGAATGTAATAGAAAACATTAAAGTGTCTCAAATAGAGTAAGGGCAACAACTATTTATAAAACGAGTGTATTACATATATATTTATACTTTTAGATAATGTATGTAACAGATTAGAATGCATTGTGTATTTTATCAACTCTTAAGATCCAAGGTCTTTTTTTTTTTCACTTTAGCATCTCTAAAATCTGGATGTGCTATATAATCTCTGCTATGTCATAGATGAGTGGGTTGCTTCTTGATGACACAAAATAATGGCATGTCTTACTATCAAGGAATTAGATTTGATGAAATATAATAGCCATTTTTTACTATGCATTATGACAAGTAACACTGGAAAGCCTCTGACCTAACATGGTCTGCCACCTCTTCGAAGAACCACACACTGATTAGCCAAACAAAAGTTTAGAGTAGCTGCAAGGATTTTACCAAATGAAGATTACAAATTTCTCATTACTTGAAAATGATCCGTGATGGTAAATCCATGGCTATGGGTTCAGTCTTTATGCCAGAGTCTAGACCACAAAAAGGAGTCTGATAAAAACCGAGTCTGAAACAGGACTTTAGATTCTAGCTGAAAGCTAGTGAGCTTTCACAGATTTGCCAAATAAGGTAAAAAAAAAAAGATTCCTAGGACTGGGATCCCCCATATTTGCACTGCAGAATCATTTAGAGAACTCTGGGCAATGGAGATGAGCAACAATTACTCACAAGACTAAATACAAATAGCCAATAAACAGATGAAAGCACGTTGTGGCTTCTCTTGCACACAGGTGACATGTCTCTGTTGCCAACCAGGAGAGACAGGCTCTAGGACCCAGAGGAATCAGGTAGCTGGTATAAATGTCTACGGAGAGCTACATGTCAGAAATCTGAATTTTTGTATGAAATCTCCCAAATTTTAAAAGTAATTCAACTTTACAGATGGTGTTGGCAAAACTGGACAGCTACATGTAGGAGACTGAAACTGGACCATTGTCTAACCCCATACACAAAAGTAAATTCAAAATGGATCAAAGACCTGAATATAAGTCATGAAACCATAAAACTCTTAGAAAAAACATTGGCAAAAACCTCTTAGACATAAACGTGAGTGACCTCTTCTTGAACATATCTCCCCGGGCAAGGAAAACAACAGCAAAAATGAACAAGTGGGACTATATTAAGCTGAAAAGCTTCTGTACAGCAAAAGACACCATCCATAGAACAAAAAGATACCCTACAGTATGGGAGAATATATTTGTAAATGACAGATCCTATAAAGGCTTGACATCCAAAATATATAAAGAGCTCACCCACCTCAACAAACAAAAAACAAATAATCCAATTAAAAAATGGGCAGAGGAACTGAACAGACAGTTCTCCAAAAAAGAAATAT